ATGATGATGGTGATGATGATGATGATGATGATGATGAGGAGGAGGAGGAGGATGAGGATGATGATGATGATGATGGTGGTGGTGGTGATGATGATGATGATGATGATGATGATGATGATGCTGATGATGATGATGATGATGATGATGATGATGCTGATGATGATGATGATGATGATGCTGATGATGATGATGATGATGATGATGATGATGATGATGATGATGATGATGATGATGATGTGGTGGTGGTGGTGGTGGTTGGTGGTGGTGGTGGTGGTGTGGTGGTGGTGGTGTGGTGGTGGTGGTGGTGGTGGTGATGATGATGATGATGATGATGATGATGATGATGATGATGATGATGATGATGATGATGCTGATGCTGCTGATGATGTGATGATTGATGATGATGATGATGATGATGATATGATGATGCTGATGCTGATGCTGATGCTGATGATGATGATGATGATGATGATGATGATGATGATTATGATGATGGGAGGAGGAGAGGAGGAGGGAGGAGAGGAGGAGGGGAGGAGGAGGAGGAGGAGGAGGAGAGGGACTGGAGGAGCAGGAGTCAGGAGCAGAGGGTGGGGCAGGAGGAGGGGCATGATGGGGGGATACGGAGCGGGGGAAAGGAGCAGGGAGCAGGAGCAGGACGCCACGCCGGACGGGGTGGGCGCCGCCTGGCCCCCGCGCGCGCCCCGCCGTCGGCGCGGCCAGGCAGCGAGACCGTCGGCTGTTTCCCGTGGATGCAGCTGATGCCGTCGGCCTCTGCGGCCGGGGCCCAGGGTCGGCACATACGAAATGGGTACGGAAAGAAAGGGTACGGTGCCCAACAGCGGCCTGTGTCCATGTGAGACAGAAGGCCACCTGCCCAACATCGGCCGTTGTTGGCTTGGGACGACACTTGTTGTTGGGCACTGTTCATATTTTTCTTCCGTACTCATTTTGGGCGTCCACACAGGGGGGGCCTTCGCCGTCCGCGCGGCCCTGAAATCCTGGCGTTGCGGTTTGGTCAGAACGGGGTGTTTTCGCATGATTATTGGTCCCAGGTCCGTCGAGGATCCATCGGGCTGGAATCGGGGGCCCCAACGGCGTGTGGTCACGGGCCGCGTGGTGACCTCGGAACCCCGAACGACCTCACCGCGCGGTCCGTCGGCGCACGGTTTTGGGACCATGGAGGCCCCAGTCGCACGAGACGTCCTCGGAGAACGACTCGAGTCCCAAAACCGTGCGGTAACCCCAAACCCCCACTGACTCGCCACGTGGTGTGGTCGCCGCACAGTATGGGGACCCCTGATGGAGTCTCGGGCTCTGTGATGGGGTCTCGGGCTCTGTGATTCTTTCACGACGTTTCAGTTCGTCGGATTTCAGGGGGCTGGATGCGCTTCGAAAGTTGCAATGCTCCAAGCATGCAGCGAGGCGCGGGAGGAGGGCGGACAGGATGAGGAAGATGAGGCGCAGGAGAAGGGCCCGTGTTCCGTGATTGTTGCGGCCCCACCGTCGTAAGTAGAGCCATAACGCCATTTCCTGGGTCTGCAGCCGTGCGAGTCTTCGAAGCAGGTGGAAATTTGTCAGACGAATGTGCGCGGCGCTGAGACGAGAGCCACACGTTGAAAACTTTCCGCACGTCACCCGTGAACATGTCGCAAACTTGTGCAACACATTTGCGGTGCGCAAGGGCGAAGACCATTTCGAAAACGCCCCGCCCTCCATCCTTGAAACTGTTGCAAATTGTTACGGTGAGTGTACGCGGCGCTTTAGCGAGAGCGACATTTTGAAAACGGCCCGCCCTCCTTCTTGAAGCGGTTGCAATCGTTTACGGCGAATGTGCGCGGCGCTAAGTCGAGAGCGACATTTTGAAAACGGGCCGCTCTCCATCCCTAAAGCTGTTGCAAGCTCGAAGGACGAAGGTGCCCGGCGCCAATTCGAGAGCCCCTTTTTGAAAACGGGCGGCCCTCCACTTTTCAGGTTGTTGCAGGTTGAAGTTTCGAGCATCAGGATCTCCTGTAAATGGGGAGGACGTCTGCGGCAAAGCGACCAGCCCGCCCGTCCGACACGTCGGGGGGTGCGACAGGGAGGAGTTCTTCACATGGGAAAGGGTTTTAACAGGAGGAGGATGAAGAGGAAAGCAGGAGGAGGACGAGGAGGAGGAGGTGGAGGAGGCCCTCTCAGGCCGACCTGGTCGGAGAGCTGCCGCAGAAATTCGGGGTTCTGGTCGTGATTTTCCGCAATGCTATGCTTTTCCGCAGTGCGAGATTTCACGGCAGAACCAACTGGCAGGCAGGCGAAGAAAGAGAGAACGAGAGAGAGAGAGAGAACAAACAGATAATGAAAGAGGTAGAGGGGGGAAGATAGAGAGAAAGAGAAAGAGAGAGAGAGAGAGGGGACACAAAGGAGAGGGAGGAAGACGGGAGGGGACATGGGGGAGGAAAAAGGAGGGGGCACAAACGAGTGCGACGTAACGAGAGTGGGCATCACCACCCACTTCCCTCCCGGGCGCGCCGCCGAGAAGGGCAACCTTGAGATCCGACGTTGCCCACACATTGCAACATCGCGGAACAATCATGACTGGAACCGTAAATCCCATTGTTCCGCCGCGTTCGATCTGTGATGGTGGTGGGGAGGGGGGCTCGGGGTCGAGCCCGATCGATTTGTGATGATTTTCGAGCCAGATCGATCTGTGATGGCGGGGGGGGGCGAAGAACGGGGCGAAGAGACGCCCAACACGACAGCAGAGGCTCCACGGCAGACAAAAGGCCGACGTGCCCTGGGATCAGGTGCTGCCAGACGCGGCCCGGTCCATGGTGGCCCCGACTTCTCCTGGGGAGGGGAGGCATTGGGCGGCTGCGCCATGGGCGGATATCCCGTGGGGGGGAAAATTAGAGCGGCTGCTTTTGTTGGCAGTTTTCGCCACGAGTTCGTGGGCCCTCAGTGGGCCCCGGGACCGTCAATCAACGATTCAGGGTGGAAAGTCGGTCTCATCGAGCAGACATATAGCGCCGGGTGTCTCAGCACGTGCGCATCGGCGGCGTTCCCAGGGGGCATGCCGAGGGGGCGGGTCTGTTCAGAAGACTGAGGAGGCCTACGGCCTGCCGAGAAGTTCTGTTTAGCCCTCTCCGAAGTCTCGGAGGGCCTCGCAGGAGGCCGGAGGCCCTCTGAGAACCACCGCCGCCTTCTGAGAAGGCCTGCCCCTGCTCACATCCCCCCTTCGTAACCTCCCAGGGGCTAGTACGGCCCAAGGTTTTTGCCTGTTTCGGCCGTAATGCAGGACCGTCAACGAAAGGACTCAGGAACAAGAGTTGGTCCCTGGGAAGGCGTCCAGGGCTCTGGGGAACCAAGGTGCGAAAAAGTCATGCAGTCGGACGTTTGGGTTCTTCCTGCCTTGGCCGTCTTCCTCCCTCCGTCGTGATTTTGAAGTCCCTCGCTCCTTTTTCCCGCCTTTCCCCCTTCCCTCCTTCCTTGTCCTTCGTCTTCTCCCCCCCACTCTCCTCTGCTTCATGGCCTCCGTCCGCCGCCTCCGTCCTCGGTCCCCTGACGCTTGCTTCCGAGGGCTGCTTGCGCGATCTCAGCGACGCAGAATAACGGGGTCGTCTTTACCGACACTGGCGCGCAGGTTGCCCGCTTCAGGTCCCGCGCAAGCGCTCTCGCCTCGGTGTAGCATTCTGCGCTGGCGGCCCGCGTGGGTCGCTGCGTACGGTCGCCATTGCCATCTCGTGTACTCGGCATCGCTCGGACGTGTGCATTTCCTTCGGCGAGGACCATCGAGGAGCATCCTTGATCATTTGGCGAAAAAACCACGCACGAAACCGAAAAAAGCACACGGAATGGACGTCCGAGCGATGGCGAGTGTGAGACCTGCTTCTTTCCGTCGCTCCTATGTTCCGAGTTCCGTGGGCGACTCGTGTGCCCCGTGCCGCGTTGGCACCTGCCGAGGCGTCGCCACAGACTTTCGGCCCTCGGAGCCGACAGGCTGTGCACCGCGCACAACGTTGGATCCGAGCCTCGGGGGAGTTCGAGCACGGTGCGGTAGACTCGCGTCGTGTCGACGCGGCGGCGACGAGCCTCCGCGCCGCCAGCGGCCCGATGTCGGCCAATACCGAACGATCTTGCGCGATCGGAGAGCCGCGGTCGTTCAAGACTGGACGATCCACGTGGTGGCAGAAGCCATCGCCGAAGTCGTCACGGCACGAGCCTGCCGTACGTACGGTGCGCGGGCGCCTCCCTCGTACCAGCGCAGCCCATGCGGTGTCGATGTGTTCGATCCGCGGCCCCAGAGGTTCTGACCGCTCCCCTGGGGGTGGCTTCTGCATCCCAGATACATTTCGGATGGCTCCTGGGCCCGACAGCGGGCCCCAGAGGCTGACCTGTGGGCTCGACGCTGGAGTTGCACGGCTCAGATCCTCCGAGATCTGGCTTGGGCAGCAGCAGACTGCGAGAGAGAGAGAGAGAGAGGAGGGGGGGGGAGGGGGCGCGCCTCGAAGTGCTCGGCCAAGGAGAGGGCGCCTTGCCGGGGCGCACGGCGGCCAGGCCCTGGGCCCGCGTGGCCTCGCCCCGCGCCGCTCTCGCCCGCGCTGCCTGCCGGCCCGCCCGCGGTGCGGCTCGCGCGGCGTCGCCAAGGGCTGAGCGACCTCTGCCGTCCCCGGACTCGCGCGGGAGCGGCCACGAGCTGCTCCAGATCTCCCTGGATCGGAGGCGGATAGACCTCCTACCCTGACACGTCGATTCAGGAATCGGCCGTGTTCTCGGTTCGCGAGGGGGCGTCGCGGCCGTCATTTTTGCGGGTACGGGTCCGTCGGTTTCGGTCCCAGGCCGTTTTCACTAAGGGGAGGTTTACTAAAGGGAGGTTTGTCCGCCGCCGACTGGAGATCTCTGGTCGCATGCGTCTCTCCAGGATCTGCCCCGAGTCGCCGGGGCCCGCACCCGCCCTGACTTGTCCGGCCCGGTCCCCACAGGTCGAGGGGCGAGGAGTCGTCAAGCCCTCCGGGGCGGGGAGGGAGGCGTACAGCGAGCTCGTGGTCGCGACGCCCAAGCGAGGCCCCGAGAGCCCGCCGGGCTGGCGGCCGCTCCCCCTCGTCTCGCGCCCTCCCTCTCGTGGCGGCGACCCCGCCGCCCGCGTTCAACGTTGAACACCGCCGGCGACCAAGAATCGATCGATGTTGAACGATCTGACGTTTCGGAAACGGCCGATCGTTCAAGGTTGAACGATCTCCGCTGTGTCAGGAACCAACGCCAGGGTTGACACGTTGCGAGCCTGCCGTGCCTGGGGCTCGCGGGCCCGTTCGAAGGAAGGAGATGAGTTCCACCACCACCACCACCACCACCAGGGGGGCCACCTCCAGCGAGGGGTTCCAAGATGCCTCCCCGAGCGGGGCCTCGGACGACCGTTTCGGGGCGCCCTCCTCCTCATCCTCCTTCTCCTCCTGCTTTTTCTCCTCTTCCTTCTCCTCCTCTACCTCCTCCTCTTCCTTCTCCTCTTCCTCCTCCTTATCCTCCTTATCCTCCTCCTCCTCCTCTTCTTCTTCTTCTTCCTCCTCCTCCTCCTCTTTAATCCTTATCCTTATCCTTATCCTCCTCCTCCTTCTTCTCCGCCTCTTCCGCCTCCTCCTGCTCCTCCTGCTCCTCGGTGCCGCCCTCTCTCTGCCCTGATCAGGTCGCCAGACGCGGTGAAGATTTTGCGATTTTGATGGCCACCTCCCATACTGGAGGGGAGGGTACGTTGTACTCGGACTGTAAGGGTACGCTGCAATGTGGCACCGACACGCGTTCTGCTCGGAGACCTGCCAACCCACGTTCGCACTTGTGGAGGCGGATCTTTCGTGATGGGGAGTTCGAGTTGATTCTGTGGAAAAAAGTCGGGGCACACTCGACCATGATCGATGTGCGAGAAGGCCGCGTTGCGGAGTCCGAGAGGACGGGTAATGCAGAAGCAGATCGGCTGGCTAAGGCAGGAGCGGCCCTCAGCCGCCACGACAGTCAGACAGTTCGACTGGTCAAAGGCATGCTTGTGCTGTGCAGGCAGCTTGTCAGGTTTGTGACTCGGGCCGAGGTTTCTGACTCGGAGGAGGGGCGCTGCGACAGCATAGGGGGCCCAGAGGCTCACTCTGGTGCCCCTCAAACGGGATCCTGCTTTTGAGGGGCAGCTGGAGGCGGTGAGGGGGGAGGAGGCTGCTGCTGCCGCTGCCTCGGCCCCCACGCCCTCCCCTCAGGACCCCCTCGATGCCCCTCCAAAGCCCTCCGAGGCCCTCGGCCCCGAGCTTTCAAGGCTTGCGGTGGATTCCCGCCAGAAGCCCTGGAGGCAATGGGGGCCATGTGCTGCTAGATTTCCCCTTGGTTTCGGAAGGCCAGGCCCCGTTGTTGTTCTGTTCCTCGTGCGGGGGATATGCGACTGTCTCTGCGGGGGCCCGAGGCCTTGGGGCCAGCTGTTCGGGGTCCCAGGCCGCGCTGCTCGATCCTGGGGGGCAGAGAGGAATAAAGGGATAAGCGCTTCGTGCTTTTTGTGCGTTTGTTTTGTTGTGCCGTCGGATCTCAAGGCCAGTAGATTGCTGCAGTCTTCGCTGTTCCTCAGGGGTGTATGGGGCCCCCGCCCGTCTCTGCTTTCGTCCCTTCGGTCTTTCCCTCCTCCGTCCGCGCCGCAGTTTGCTTCGCTGCGTCCCATCGTCGCCTCACCGCTGCTTGAACCCAAGCGGCAGCTCTAACAAAAGTGTGTGGGGGGGGCGTCTGGCAGTCCCGAAGGTTGCCAGAGGGCTTGTGGTCCCAGCAACGGGGCCCGGCCTGGAGGCTCAGGCCCAGAGGCCCGCAGCTTTGATCTCCCTCTGGCCATTCTTGTATCCCTCCAGGTTTCAGCCGGCTGGACGCGGCTCTAAAAAACGATACGGGGTTTGGGCACACATTCTGAAGGTGTTCGCTTGCGTCAGACTTTCTCGGCCTTCCAAGGGGACATCTCTTCTAGTCCTTTCAGCTCAACCTTATACACGTTCCTTCGATCTGGCAATTTAATGTACAGGTGAGTTCTTCTGGGCCCACCAGGCGGGCTTCTCTTTCGGGACCCCCTCGTCCGAGCTTCTTGCTCCCTCTCGATCTGCGTCCGTGGTGCATCGGGCACTTAGTTGTGTCAGTATCGGGCGCGCTGCCACGCGATGCCGCCGACCAAGCGCACGTGCTCCAACGCATGTCTCCGCAAAAGAAACAGCCGCACGAGCATAAACTTTGGGAGGTCCGGGCGGATTTCTTGGATCGGCGTTGTGTCCTGGTGCTGCCAGCGCTCTGGGGCGGGCGGGCAGCCTTCGGAGCCATCTGGTATGTCCGGTATGTCCGGCGACCTTCGGCCCATCCCGCCAACGTGCTTGGCTTCCAGAAGGCCTCTCCGGGGACCTCTTGTAGGCATCACTTGGCCCTCTTGGGGCGCATCTGGGGCGTCTCCTGCATGCTGTTCACTCATGTTGCTTTGTTGTTGAATGTTAATTACTAAACAATTATTATTGTTGGGCACCTTAACGGCGCTTTGGCGCTCTCGCCGAGGCGCCAGCTACATTTTCATTGAAAATGAGGCTCACGCTCGAGCGGCTTGGGGGACCGTCAAAACCGGCCCCCTAACAACAACAACGCTCCCGCTCGAGACTTCCTCCTTTTTCACTTAGGGCTGGTTTTCTTGCTCGCCGTCGAAAGCTGCCGTCCTAACAAAATTAGCGCTCCCGCTGGAGACTTCCTCCCGTTTTACCTTGGACTGGCTCGCTAGTCGTTCTCTCATCGGCGCCGCCCCCAGCAAAAATTAGCCTGGCGAAGGACCCAACCATATGCAGTTGTGGGTATCGCATTCGGGGGAGCCCCTTATGGGGCCACGAAACGCTGTGCTGGGTGGGGGGGACGCATGCGAACTGCGCCACTCGGACCTTCGGTGGAGCTCTCTATGGGGCCACGAAACGCTGTACTGGGCGGGGGGGACGCATGCGAACTGCGCCACTGGGACCTTCGGTGGAGCTCCCTATAGGGCTACGAAACGCTGTACAGGGTGGTGGGGGGGGACGCATGCGAACTGCGCTACTGGGACCTTCGGGGGAGCTACCTATGGGGCCACGGAGCGCTGCCCTGGGTGGCGGGGGGCGCATGCGAACTGCGCCACTGGGGCCTTCGGTGGAGCTCCCTATGGGGCCACGAAACGCAGCCCTGGGTGAGGGAACCGCATGCGGGCTGTGCCACTGGGACCCTCGGTGGAGCTCCCTATGGGGCTACGACACGCTGCCCAGGGTGGGGGAACCGCATGCGGGCTGTGCCACTGGGACCTTCGGTGGAGCTCCCTATGGGGCCACGAAACGCTGCCCTGGGTGGGGGAACCGCATGCGGCTGTGCCACTGGGACCTTCGGTGGAGCTCCCTATAGGGCTACGAAACGCTGTACAGGGTGGTGGGGGGGGACGCATGCGAACTGCGCTACTGGGACCTTCGGGGAGCTACCTATGGGGCCACGGAGCGCTGCCCTGGGTGGCGGGGGGCGCATGCGAACTGCGCCACTGGGGCCTTCGGTGGAGCTCCCTATGGGGCCACGAAACGCAGCCCTGGGTGACCGCATGCGGGCTGTGCCACTGGGACCTTCGGTGGAGCTCCCTATGGGGCCACGAAGCGCTGCCCTGGGTGGGGGAACCGCATGCGGGCTGTGCCCTGGGGCCTTCGGTGGAGCTCCCTATGGGGCCACGAAACGCTGCTGGGAGCTCCCTATGACGAAACGCTGCCCTGGGTGGGGGAACCGCATGCGGGCCCACTGGGACCTTCGGTGGAGCTCCCTATGGGGCTACGAAACGCTGCCCTGGGTGGGGGAACCGCATGCGGGCTGTGCCACTGGGACCTTCGGTGGAGCTCCCTATGGGGCTACGAAACGCTGCCCTGGGTGGGGGAACCGCATGCGGGCTGTGCCACTGGGACCTTCGGTGGAGCTCCCTATGGGGCTACGAAACGTGTGAGGGGTGTGCCGAGAGCAGAGGCAAGGAGGGGGAGGAGGGAGGAGGGCGAGGAGGGGGAGGAGGAGGAGAGGAGGTGGGACGCGGGGCGCTGTCTCTTCAAAACGAGGACCCACCACCACAGGATGGTTGAGAATAATGCTTCCGCTCGAGGCCTCCTCTCTTTTAAATCAAGGCGGTGCTCTTCCTCGTCGCCGAAAACCGCCGCCCCGACAAAACCAGCGCTCCCGCCCGAAACTTCCTTCCGTTTTACGCTGGACTGGCGCCCAACTCTCTTTTGAATTGTGCCGCTCCCAGCAAGAACAACGCTCCCGCTCGAGGCTTTCTCCCTTTTTCCTGAAGACGGTGCTGTTCCTCGCCGCCGACAACCCCCGTCCCGACAAAACCACGGCTCCCGCTCGATGCTCTCTCCCTTACTCAAGGCGGTGTTCCTCATCGCCGCCGAAAGCCGCCGCCCCGACAAAGCCAGCGCTTCCGCCCGAGACTTCCTTCCGTTTTACGCTGGACTAGCGCCCTATTCTGTTTTGAATTGGTTCCGCTCCCAGAAAGAACAACGCTCCCGCTCGAGGCTTCGTCACTTTTTCCTGAAGACGGTGCTGTTCCTCGCCGACGACAACCCCCGACAAAACCACGGCTCCCGCTCGATGCTTCGTCCCTTCTTACTCAAGGCGGTGTTCTTCCTCGCCGGCGAAAGCCGCCGTCCCAGCAAAACCAGCGTTCCCGCTCGAGACTTCGTTTTGTTTTGCGCTGGAGTAGCGCTCTACTCTCTTCAGCATTGGCGCCGCTCCCAACAACAACAGCAGCCATGCTCGAGACTGCCTCCCTTTCTATTCAGGGCCATGTCCTTGCCTCACCGCCGACAGCCCCCATTCCCACCAAGGCAATCCTGTCGTTCGACATTACCCCGTGCTTACCCTTCCCTGGGGTTCCACTGGCGGTCTCTCATCGGCGCAGCAAGGCGCGGGCATGTGTTTTCGATGCGGGATATGTTGAAATTCCTTGGAGGAGGTGCTTGCAATACCTCATTGGGCGGGAGATCTGGGAATAGGAATAACGGACCCCGCTATAGAACAATAATCCCTCA